GTCATGATTCAGCACGATCATGGAGAGTGCAGCGGACAGTTACTTTGTCACGTCCCTGGCACGCCGTGAGCCCATGATGACCTCTCCAGTTGACACCGTTCACAATCTTGCAGTAGAACCGGCGGAAGCAGCAAGCCAAGAACAATTTGTTCGGTAACTAATGAATTACATGGTGTACCTCTTGTTCGTTAATCCTGAGATGCTGTTGCCGGGCTCCAGGCGGAATCTCTTCACAAAGGCACATAGAGAGGTTGAGGCCATGGCCATGTTCATGGATACAGAGCCACCACTGGACAAGGGGGCGCTTACAGAGGAGATCGGGCGCGAGCTCGATCCACCTCAAGGTTCCAATGTGGGAGCGCCAGAAGGAGATGTGGGAAGTGATCCAGGGTGTCTGGGTGGAGATGCTCTGCTTCTCCGCCAGCAGATGCAGAGGCTGTAGAGGGAGAGCAGCTTCCAAGCCCGGAAGTAGGGAACGACGGCACTGTTTCAACGACTCAGCTCGTGAGGTCTCCACCAGCTAGCACGGCTCCGAGGTCCGCATCGGCGTCGATGTATACTGCGTCATCAGCTCATCCTATACGATCATATCCACAGTACAAGTATTGTTGTCCTGTGACATCAATGACATTGTACAAGTACCACTACAATACTAATGTATTATACACACAAGATCCTATAGGTTTTACAAGGTTATAGCTCATCAATGACATCAATGGAAACGATGCTTGCCGGCTGAGGTAATTGTCGGCAGACCAATGTCGAAGGGGCTTGTCCTGAAGCCCAAAAGCTACCCCGGGTGAGTTCTAACTTCTACAAGTACAACCACTGTGATAGCTGATAAACAAGGGGAAATGGTAGATAAGGGCATCCGGCCTTTATTGACAAGCTAGGATCACACCCAGTGATGATTCTACGCTAAAATAAAGTGGAACACGTATCGGGCGTCCGTTCCGTCCGGACAGATGGACCCACCCACGGAACGACTTGGACCGAATCGGCGTTGCGGGTGCGGTAATTCTCACTTCGCCTCCCTCATCCTCATCCCCACCCCCGGCGCGACGCCCTCCCCCACACCCCAGCGAGGCGCGCAGTGCCCTTTCACCCACGCGTTGCCCTTCCCCACCCCCGACGCGGTGCCCTCCCTCACCCCCGGGCGAGGCGAGGCGCGGTGGTGGAAGGCGCGGCATCCTCCCCCACCAGGAGCCCCCAACCCGGCGTGGCGCTCCCACCACCTCAGGCGCAAAGATCCTCCCCACCCCGGTGGCACCCTCTCACCCCCCCACCCCTGCGATCGAGCTCCTCCCACCCGGCGCCCATGGCGCTCCCTGCGCTAGGCTCACTCTATGTTGCAATTGTATGTTTCAATTGTTTCAGAAGGTTCAAAGGTATGTTGCAGTTGCTCATATGAATGTTGCAAAAGTAGATCGGGTGATGTTGCATATGTTGCAATTGTTTTCAGGGGCATGTTGAGCATGTTTCGAGTGTTTCAGATGTTTCAGAGGTATGTTTCATCTATGTTTTCCGGACGCATGTTGCAATTGTGTTTATCTGGATGTTGCATATGTTTCACACATGTTGCATGTGTTTTATTCGGATGTTGTGTATTGTTGCAATGGTTTTCAAGTGTGTTTCAGGTGTGTTTTTCAAGTGTTTCATAAGCATGTTTCTAGTGTTTCATCTGCCTTTAGACGTATGTTGTAATTGTTGCATCTCGATGTTTCAAAAGTAGATCGAAGGTTTTTGCACATGTTGCAATGGCGCCGATGGCTGGCGAACAGTGGCTTGTCATAGGGCTTCGGCTCCTACCTTGCGCGCCGCACCTCGCCCTCTCCTCTCCCACCCCTCCCTTCCCTTCCCTTCCCTTCTCTCCATCTCGCCGCAACAATTCGAGCTCGTCCTCGACGTGGAGTTCAGCGGCGCTGCAGCGAGATGGGACATGGGGCGAGGGCATGGTACGATGCGGGCAGCGGTGCTGCGTCCGGACGCGGGGTGCTGGTGTGGGATGGATACTGGTGGGGCGCACTGTGCGGGATGGACGCAGTAGCCTACCCGAGCGTCCGGATGCGCGCTATCCGTCGGACGTCCGGGCGCTAGATACTCCGAAAATAAAAATATAAAGTTGCGTGAGAACAAAGAACTAATCTTTCTGTTTCTTCAGGTGCACTAGTATTTTTGTCCCCAATGCATGCAGGTCTCTCTTGTCGACATGGTACTCCTTCCTGGGCTTGCTAGCTCCTCGTCTTCTCTTGCTCCCTCCGTCCCTCAGACTAGGCATTCGGTTTAAACCGCAAATTCGGTTCATTCGGTTTTGTAAAACTTCGGTTTCCAATAAACAGCGACCGATCGGTTCATTTGAAAGCTGAAAACCGGCAAGTTTGGTTTCGGCTTTTTATCTCGCTTTTTCGGTTTAAACCGAACCGCCCAAAACTGCCGAAGTAGGCAGCTCGTCGTCCTCACGCTTGGCTGCCTCCCTGCTCACGAACGCCGGCACAACGGCGCCGCACCAGAGCGCCCCTTGCGCGGGGCCGCACGCCGCCTCCCTACGCCAACGCCGCCGCGTCGAGCCGCTCACTGCGTCCTGCTCGCAAATGCCGCCGCGCCAAGCTGCTCCCTCCTCCCTGCTCGCAGAGACACGAAGGGCCGCTCGGCGCCTCCCTACGCAGCTACGCTCTTGCTCGTGCCGCCGCACCGAGCCGCTCGCCGTGCGCCGACCAACCACGTGCCAGCATCACGCACGCCGCCGTTGCCGCCTGCGTTGCGCCTTGGCCTTGCAGAGATCGGGAGATGCAAGATAGGGTTTGGAATCGCTGCGTCGGGCGGGATTGGGGGCATGGGGCTATAGGTTTGTTGGAGTCGGGGCTCAGGGGGCTGGGGCCTTTGGTCGTTGGGCCGTGGTGGGCTGCCCCTGCTTCCCGTGCCGTTGTGGCCAACCGGCCAGTTTGTAGTCTGGAGTGTCAGGTGACTTCGGTTGCTATCGGTTGTTCGATTCTCACTGAGTAGAAACCGAAAATGAAGCCGAACACCGAACTTCTTGGACTCAAAAACCGAAACCGAACCGAAGAAGCGATAAAACCGACTTTTCGGTTCGGTTTGCGGTTTTCGGTGAAAAAGTGCCCAGTCTGATCCGTCCCTAAATAAATCAATTCCTAGAATCCGTGCAAGTCAAACAATCTTAAGTTTAACTAACTTTATATAAAAAATTAACATCTATAACATAATAGCATGTTATGAAAATATATTCTATTATATATCTAATGATACTAATCTGATATCATAAATTTTTTTTGGGTTTCTTCTATAAATTTGGTCAAAATTTAAAAAGTTTGACTTTAGGCAACTCTATGAATCTATTATTCCGGGACAGAGGGAGTAATAAAAACCAAAAGTAGTAATCATATGTTGTTTGTTTTCCCTTTATAGATGCCTTGCATCAGTGTAATGTTGTTCTCCACCCTTCCATTTCCGAAGCAGTGTAATGTAATTAATGCTTGAAACTCATAACCTAGTGTTCAGTTTTCAATTTCCAGCCGTGTTCTGCTTCATTAGGAAAAAAAAGGTAAATCCTAAAAAACATCACATTAATCAGAAACATATAGCCCATAATTTGGTAAACTTTAACCATAAACGCAAATAATAGGCATTCAATTTATTCTGTTTTATAAATGTATTACATGTATCTGCCATTATGAAAAACACATAGAATAATCCCCTAATCTTATACCTAAATTACCCCACTCCGCTATTGTTATAAAAGATAGTTCAAATCAACCACCTAAATTATATCTAAATTACCCACGATTCTCACTATGAAAAATAATTTAAAATAACCAACTAAATTTGTATCTAGATTATCGACATCTATTATTATGAAAGATAATTAAATATAATTACACCACCGTCATTATAAAAGATAACAACGCAAAGTAACCCCTTAGTTTATATTCAAATTATTACTCAGATATGTCATTACGAAAGATACTGCATCGATTGAGAAGCTTCCGGGACCCTTCATTCGTGGGGCTTCTAGGTTGACGTACGGAAGGGTTCGATGATGACTCCCTCATTTCAAAATGTGTTCGCTTTTAGAGCAAGTCAAGAATTTCATCTCCCCTGGTCATTTACCAAGTGAAGGGTTTCCCTATACTTTTTTTTTAAAAAAAATGGTGTTTTATGGGTGAAGAACAATTGAAAAGCGACCCATTTTACTCCATCAAGTGTATTGAATTTGTGTTGAAGATAATGTACATTATGCTAACCACCACATTTTCGCCCTCTGTATTGTTTAGTGCAACTAGTAGTATGCCCTTGGTAACGCTTCGATAAAATACAAAACAAGACAAAATTTACAAAGAAAAATAAAACAGACAATCAAACTCATTAAAGTTCACATCTTATATATTGTATAACCAGATATTTTTGTCAAAATTGAGAAAAAGGAAACAAGAGTAGTACTCATTGCTCAAGAAATAATGATAAAAAAACTAAGAGTAGTACATGTCCATGGGATCGTGATCGATGGGAACTCCAAGACCTCGGCGGGAAGCTTCGGGGGTGACACTCAACTAAAGTTGATCCAGCCCGGATCTCAAAAGTCGAAAGGTGGTCAGCAAGCATGTACAATTCCGAATATAGCCTTGTGACTTGTAAGTGGGTGTCTTGATACCAAAAAAACATTCTATAGCAGGTGCCAGGTAGAGGGTACTAATCAAGAGATCATCGATGACACAGGATTTGAGTTATAATACAGCAAGTTGGTTTCTAAGTTGCATCCTCTTATTAGTATCTCACACAAAGGAGCAAACTCCATCTATCCATCTTCTAAGTTTACTAGGCGTATTCCTTCCAATATCCACGTTGCATGCTGAAACAACTGTGACAATAATGGAGAGCGCAGCGCAGTCCATTGTGAGCAACCTGGGGCAGCTGCTGGTCGACGAGGTCCAGGACACCGCGGCGTCGGCGACAAGGTGGTTCTCCTAATGGACGAGCTGTCCACCATGAACGCCTTCCTCCGAATGATCTCCGAGGCGGACCAGAGCGCCATCGATCACCTCGTCAGGGAGTGGGAGAAGCAGGTGCGCGAGCTCGCCTATGACGCCGAGGACTGCGCCGACACCTACTGGCTCCGCGTCAGGCGCCCGATGGCGCCCCCCCAGCTGCCTCACATTATCGTGAAATGGCCCAAGTACCAGCTGGAGAAGCTGCTGCTGCGACGCACCCTCGCCGCCTACGTCAAGGCCCTTCTGGCACGTACCACCACCGTCAGCGAGCGCCGCGTTCACTACGGCAACGACCGGGCGGCGCTACCCAGGTCTCCGTGGCTCGCCCCGGTCTCGGCGGCGGCGTCTGTGTCCGCGAATGCCCTCGGCCGTGATGACCCTGATGATCAGTTCGTCGGCATCAGGGAACAGGTCGACACCTTGGCGGAGAGGATCAAAGCCGACGATGATGACAGAAGCCTCAAGGTGTTCTCCATCGTGGGGTCCGGAGGGCTGGGGAAGACAACTCTGGCGGTGGAGCTGTGCCGGCAGCTGGAGGCCGACTTCCAGCGCCAGGCGCTGGTGTCCGTCTCACAGGCGTTCGATGGCGGGAAGGACATGAAGGGACTGATGGCGACTGTTCAAGCAGATTGTGAACCTGAAAGAAGATGGTGAGCAAACCCAAGGCAACCAACTTAAAATCAACCAAATGGACGTGGAAGAACTGTCGAGCAAGCTCAAGGAGCTCCTCAAGGACAAGAGGTACACAACTATAGACTACCATACCTTCCTCAGACCAAATTTTGAACTCTGCCTATCAACAGATTCTCTGACTCCAAGCATATGTAATATGTCCAACTAAAACAGGTATCTCATTGTGATCGATGATGTATGGAGCATACCAGCATGGGAAGCTATCCGCGTCAGATTGCCAGAGAACAAATGCAGCAGCAGAATAATTGTGACGACTCGGATAGAGACAGTGGCCAAAGCAAGTAGTGTTTCAAAGGATCTTGTCCATCATATAAAGCCACTGGACTTAGATGACAGTAAGAAGCTATTCGTCAAGAGAGTATTTGGCTCCATGGGTGGTACTTGCCCTGACGGATTGAAAGATATCATGGACAGTATTTTGAAGAAATGTGGTGGGTTGCCATTGGCTATTGTTAGTATAGCCAGCCTTCTAGCAAGCTACAATTCAGCTGAGAGTGTAGAAATGTGGATAAAAGTGTCCAACTCAATTAGTTCTCAGATGGAGAGCCACCCCACCCTGGAGGGGATGAGGCAAATGATTACACTAAGCTATGACTACTTGCCTCATCATCTAAAGGCTTGCATGATGTATCTTAGCACTTTCCCTGAGGATTATGTGATTGCCAAGGATAGGTTGTTGTACAGATGGATTGCCGAAGGTTTGGTTGCTGAGAAGCGGGGTTTGACTTTGTTTGATGTTGCAGAAGAGTACCTCAATGAGCTGATAAGCAGGAACATGATTCAACCAGACAAGCTGCGGGTAACCAGAAAAACCTTACAGGCAGAAATGGGCGAAGCATGCCGGGTGCACGATATGATGCTTGAGGTCATGGTGTCCAAATCCCAAGATGCCAACTTTGTTAGCTTGGTAGGACGGCAATACGGAGGAAGATCGCCATGCGGCAAAGTTCGCCGCCTCTCAGTCCATGCCAATGACGACAACGAGCGCGTTAGTCAGAACAAGGGAGTGGAGCAACGATATCATGCGAGACATGGCATTGAGGCGATGAACCTACAACAAGTTCGATCGCTGACTATATTTCAGTCGGAAGGCCTTGAGAAGCTGTTGAATCGACTAGGCGAGTTCAAGTTGCTGAGGGTACTTGACCTGGAAGACTGCAAGGCTCTGCAAGACAAGCATATGAGATATGTCTGTCGGTTGTATCTTCTCAGGTTCTTGAGATTGACGGGTACACGAATCAGTGAGATGCCTAGCGAAATCGGTGACCTGGAGTATTTGGAGAGTCTGGATGTTGGAAGTAGGATGTACATGCTGCCAACCGTGACGAAGCTGCATAGACTTGAGCGCCTGAGGGTGCCTTGGTGGACTTTGCCATGGGGGCTAGGGAACATGAAGGCATTGCGCGAGGTGGATTGGGCCCAACTCAAAGGTGACGTTCAGGTTGCGCGAGAGATAGGTGAGCTGCAACAGTTGCAGGTGCTATATATTACTGTGGTTGAGGAGCCCGAAGAGGAGTTTTCAGGTGTGCTTTGCTCCTCCCTGAGCAAGACATGCGCCCTCCGATCGCTCCACCTGTATTCTGGCAGGACACTGGACTCTCTCCTTCACGTCTCCTCACCGCCACCACTCCTCCAGCATCTTACTATGATGGGGCCCATTAGTCAATTTCCTGATTGGATCTCATCACTCAAGCACCTTGCAGAATTTTCGGTGGAATGGGCCAAGCTTGCTGCTGACCAGCTGCTTTATTCCTTGTGTAAGTTTCCCAGCCTGCAGAGCATCCGACTGGGGATGCGGAGCTGCAGAGACCGAGAACTGGTTGCACGCACCACACACAGTTTTCGAGCGCTGAGGATCCTGGATTTGTACCTCGCTGGAGAACATCCCGAAGTAGTCGAATTTGAGCAAGGATCAATGACAAAGCTGGAGACGCTTCTATTGAAGTTCTCTGACAAGGAGAGGAGAGTTGTCGGCATCGACAACTTGAAGAGCCTTAAAGAGGTGAAGCTCAGTGGTTGGGAAAATAACCCATCACTGCAACGCGCACTGCAGCAGCTCAAGGAGGAGAACAAGAATCGCCCTGAGTCCAGCCAGATCAAAGTTGTAGTGCAGTATGGGTGATCACATCTTGTTTTCCCATCTTTTTTTTCCCTTTTGATTGCTGTTTTCACATCTTTGGAACTGCTACATAGCTGTTGTTTCCCTACTCGGCTATGACCATGTTTTTCCTCTTAATAACTGTATTCATTTCCCAAAATCCTGTTCAGGCTCTGCTATCACTATTTATTTCTTTTCACATCTTTGGAATTGTTCACAATCTTGCAGTACAATCAGAGGAAGCTGCAGGCCAAAAACAATTTGCTCAGTAACTTGTGAATTACAAACAACAGCATCATCTGTACAGTTACTGCTTACCACTTATCAAATGAGCAGTCTACTGAGAAGTGAGAAACACGGTCCCAGATCCCAATAATGATGACCTGACAATTTGGATGCTCGCTTATTTCAGGATCTCACCTGGAGATTTTCACAACCATTTTATTGAATGCTTAGAGAGAAAAGGCTGAGAAAATTACCAACTAAAATTATTTCCAACATGAAGCAATGAAGCCGTTGATCGACATTCCAAATCTTTACCATGTGGTCAGATAATGATGTTGCTAGATATCTGCAACAGAGGCCAATTATGTCATATGAAATATAAAAATGAACAAGTAATGCTGAATAACTATGTGACATGAATTAATTTTGAGGTGTAATACCTATGTAAATGGAGCTCAAGGAGCTGAATATTGCAGACTACTGAGACTTCCGTATGCACAAAAGCCATTAATCCCATGAACCCATATGCATTTCCATATGGCTGTTAAAGCTGAACCCCATTCTTGAATCACCAACAGGGACCTCCATGAGTGAAGGGTCCTTGACTCCTTGTGCAGCGACAGCACATAAGTAATAGTTTTCAGTACCAAATGGCAGTTAAAGCTGCTCAAGTTCAACCATGCACTTGTTTCATGTGCATCCAAGGAGGGCACAAGCCCAAAAGCAGCTTTTTGGGAAGTCTATATGTTTATAAATTAGGGTTAACCCCCTAATCATATTAATTCATACCATTCCTTGAATCGGCAATAAGTTCATCTTAGGGTTCTATTTTAAATTCATACCATTCCTTCAATCAGTAATAAGTTCATCTTAGGGTTCTATCTCAAAAGTTCATGCATCTGCAAAGTATAGGAGGCAACAGGATAAGACAAACTAAAATTGGGTGACATCAGTCTTTTGTATATGTAGCACTAATACTGAAAATAGTGGGAAAAAGTAGGAAATGAATAGCTTAGACAGATTGCGAATGGAGAAACAAAATAAAGAAACCTCTGCTAGCGTGAGCCTTGAATTAGTCTCACCAAAGCTAAAACATAATCTGGATTTAGAGACATCAACAGTTCAAGCAGAACAACCTTAGCTGGACGAGAAACTTTAAGCCTTGTCTTAAAAATTCATTTCGAAAGTATTAGACAAAACAGATACACAGTGTTCACACAAGTGTTAAGATTCCATACGCATACTAATTTTGTGTAACTTAGACAGACCTTGACCTCAAATTAGTTAATCTTTGGGCGAGGAAGAGCAGTAAAAGGATTCACTTTTCTGAATGACGGATCTATCATTGCACTCCCAATACAGAAATGGAAAAGAAAATGTCTACGACTGCTGACCTGCTGTGGTCTGTAGGTAAGTCTGTTGATTTTTTTCCACTTAAATGCCTAGTGCTTGAAATTAAGGGGAAAATATATTAGTATACTAGTTCACAACCATACATGAAACCATCAGTAGAGGCAATGATCATCAAATGTGTTTTTAATAATATACTTCTCTATGTACTTCCAAAGTGTGATTGATCAATAATATTATGTAGAACTAAGGAATTCCGCATAACATCATCTAACAGCAAAGCATGTCAATTCTATATAGAAGGCAACATAATAGGCAAACTAAGATCAGGTGATTACAAGAGACAAGTATCATACAGAGTAAAACTGTAAAAACTATGAGAAGTTGGCAACTAAAAGATTTTGCATAAATAGGGAGTAATGTTAATTAATAGAAACCAGATTTAGGAAAGGCAACAGCTCGATATAAAGCAAGAAGAGGAGAAATAGAATGTGATATAGCACCTATACTACCATGGGTCTTGAACAGGCCTTGCCAAAGCAAAAAAGGAATCTTGATTTACTGACATCAATAATTCGATCGGGGCAGCCTTAGCTGGACGAGAAATTTTAAGCCTTGGTTCTAGAATACCTGACAAAGTCCATTTTAAAAGATAAATTTGATATTCAGTGCCCATACATATAAAAAAAGCCCATTGCTCTTATTGTACCTGGAGAAAGTGACCGCCCCTGATACAGAAGTGTCGCCAGTGGGTTTGTTGCCCAATGGTTCACAGCTGGACGGTTAGTTGGCTGAAATCCCACTACTTTACCTTCTTCTGATATGACGACCTAAAAATACGTGAATCAAGTGTTGGGGTATAAGTGTGAGCTGATGACCTCAAGAGAATGAAACAAACTTGTAGTTGCTTATATAAATTCTAATGCAGAGAAAAAAAATTTCTATCATAAAATTCAAAACGCAATGCAGAACTAGCACTGGATGCCTCGAGCAACCCAGCTTAGAGGAATACTTAGCAAATACCGCAATACTTTACTAGATGACAACTAAAAGGTGGGTTCTAATTTAGCAGGTATATCGTGATATATGAACAAATGTTATATGATAGACATTTGCTAGAAACAAAGGTGATCATAGACATTAGACTCATTAGATACATAATCAATACAAAAAAGACATCTACTACAAAGAGAACTCCCTTTTATAAGTCACACGAGGTACCTGAAAACTAGCAATATTCTGCAGAGTTTCCTGGGTTCTATCATTTTGTTCCAAATGGGACATCTTAATATTAATTGGTACCGACTGGGATTGATTTTCTTGGCTAAGAGTGTCAGGATGCTGAAAATAGCCAGAAGCAGCAGCATCCTCGCTATTGATTGCCTTGAAGCAGTTAGGCAGTTCTCCAACCCAAGCTCCAATGTGTGCATCAACCATTACATCACCAAGGCAGCCATATGAGTCTTTCATTTTCTTAACAAGAGACGTGCAATAAGCTTGTATCTGAAGAAGAGTAAATCAGACAAAAATATGCAGCACACATAAATAATGAATAGAGTAGTAATGCTACGATCCAGTTATGCAGGCAGGCATATTAATTCAGTATGCCAGTATTCCTTAGACACATATAACAAGCTTGCCTTGAACTCAACTTGTTTAATCTTTATAAATGAAGTGTCACATCCTGAAAGTACTAATTTTCAAGGGGGCGGAAACAGATGAGATGCAGCCTGACAGAATATTCCCAAGTTCTAACTTCTAACAGAAGTTAGGTGCAGTTGGTGTTTCTTTGGTCATTGCGACAAGTATGTGTAAGCAATTGAGCAAAAACTAAACCATGTAAAATGGCATGAGGAATATTCCTTCAGGTATTTAGTTGAAATATTGTTGTAGTGTCGATGCTATGTGAAAAGTTTGTGGCATATCACGAAAAGCAATCCAACACTAAAATGAGCATCAATCTACCTTGGACAAACAACAAATTCACAAGAACTAGATAACTAAGTACCTCACTGTTATCAAGAGACTTGATATCAGAACAATAGTTCTGAGATGATGAGGCATTTGAACTTTCCTTGAATAGCCTTTTGTCTCTAAAAGATTGAGGCCAGCATAATTGAGCAAAGACGGCGACAAAAAGAAAAATACAGCTCCCAGCCAAGAAAGTGGAAAGGTTGTTCAAATAGCCCTGCATAAAACAAAAAAAACATGAAGATTTTGATAATTATTTAAAGTGAGTTAATTTTGACCTGGAAAGTGTCAGCATACATTGTTCTTTTTAATCTTTGATGGATCTGAATTCCAATGAGGATGGAATGTTTTGCCTGGTAATGTGAATTGATCTTCAAAGTACATGTCTAGAACATTCCCTAGTTCCACCTACAAGTGGCGGAAATGCGCAGAAACAAGTTAAAAAGCATACAAAAGACCATATTCTAGAAAACAATTATGTTTAACGGAAGATATGGAGGGAATAACAGTGTACCAGTTGCGAGTGGGTTAAGAGAACTTCCCGCCTATTACTTTCTAACTCGTAAAGACCTTCACCTTCAAGATTAGAATTCTCCAATATGTTGGCGTTAATTTGCAGCTTATAGGTAGGAATGTACTCATTGGTCCAAAGCACTAACTCAGGACCCCCAATCTTCACCAAACTTTCATAATTTGGAGGTGGCCACCATCCATTCTTTGTTTTGTGCACTTCATGAGAAGACTTCATTAGACTAAAAGTCTCCAGGCACCTCTTAGCATTTTTTACTATTTCTGCCTCAGAAATTCTGTGTATACAAACCGAGGAATCCAATGAGCAGTTGAGCTGTCGCTTCTGAAACAAACTGCCTATGCCCCCAAAATGATTTTTTCTGGCATCCTCAATGACGCAGGAGAAAATGGCTTCAGCGAGAGAAGACAGAAGTTTTCCATCTGATGAGCTGATACTACAATCCAAAGACCCCTGGTGTGCATCAACAAATTAGTAGCAAGAAGTAAACACAGCAGGAAATATTGAAAACTCATAAACTTTGTGAGTTTGCACCTTTCGGGGTTTGCCAAAATCTTGGAAGTCTCTCACTGAACCTGGGGAGAAGACCTCGAGCCGAAAGTTTGAGAGCCGCTGAATTACAACTTGCTTAAAGGCCATAGCCAACATACTCTCTGAATCAGGCTCGTTTGCAAAGAAAAAATCAGATCCGAATTGTTTCTCTATCTTACTGGCCTTATCTTTAACTTCCTTCGCTTGCAAAATCTACAAAATTTGCCACTGTTACTCATGATGATCCAGCAAAACATGGGAAGCCCAACAGAAATCCAAGGCGGCTGTAATTATTTGCATACACAAGTAAACCAGTCGGCGTTCCTATCCTAGGGTGCCATAAGAAAGAAGGTGGATAAGCTCCTTCTATGGTGAAACCAAAAGCACCTTTATCAGGAAGAGGAATGTGCATGGTGAATTTCGCTTTGCCTAATTATTTGACCTATCTGCATTGTTGCGTAAGAACCGTGCTTCACCCAATGCAGCACATCTAAAGGAAAGGTGCAATTGACCCAGTTGTGCATTGCAGATAGGAATGAGTGCTTAGTGCAGCTGGTATTTGGCATAACTAGATAGATGACAATCAGTTCCACTTCCACCCAATTGTCAGAGCTAACACACGAGAGCTATGAAAGAGCTATTGAACCAGTGCTTATTGTAGCGCGAGCGCCTCAGAAACGGTGTGTGAAAAAGGCGCAGTACTGAGTACTAACTCACCACTCGCGTGGAGGAGGCGGTCGTCCCGCCGCCATGGGGCCCGGGGAGGAACGTCTCGACGACCATGGCGTCGGAACCGGCGGCGAGGTGCGCCTCCGCGGTGGCCCCTCCGTCGGCCGCGGCCGCCGCCGCGACGGCCTGTTCCCGGCGCGCGGCGCCGGCGAGCTCGAGCCGAGCGAGGCGGCCCTCGTAGCATCGCGCGATCGGGATGAGGTCGTCGGGCACGCGCGTGTCCCCGGCGCGAGGCGCGTGGCGGGACGCGGCGGGGGGCAGGCGCAGAGGGCGGAGCCGGAGGCGGGCGGCTGGGGACGAGGTGGTGAGGGAGGGGGAAGCGAAGCGGCGCGGGGAGTGGGAGGGGCAGAGAGGAGGGGCGCGGAGGAGGAGAGACGGGGACGGCATTTTTTCCGGTTTGGTTTTGCGGTGGCGCGAGCGAGGTCGGAGGATTTTGCGGCGACGGCGACGAGACGACGGCCGCTGGCTGGAGCTGGGGGGAGTGGGGCGGTGTAGGACAACTGGACAAGACGACGTGGAGCATTAGGCCCAACCCGAAAGGAATCCATTCTATCGTATAGCGGGCTGGGCTGGACTGGACTACTGCAGGAGGCATGGTAGGGCCCATACAGGCAGACGTTGAGCCCGCTGACTGATACATGTGGGCCGAACAACATCTGGCCTTTTGACTTGAGCGGGTGGAACGGAACGAATCGTGTAATTACGGCGGTGTCACTGTCGGTCACGTGCTGCGCTTGAGCGGGTGGAACGGAACGAATCGTGTAATTATGGCATTGGCATCGTAGCCGTAGCCAATGATTTGGTTGGGTATGCAGTTGCCGCGTGAATGATTATATATAATCGTGATGATGCCCATGCCAGTGAGGTACCTGCGTGCGTGGATCCGTCGTCCCGCTGCTGCGCATCTCTGTGGACTCTGTAACTGAGTTTACCCCCTGCTTACTTCTGTTCAGTCCATCACTGACTTCACCTGGTCACGTTATAAATAAATTGATACTCCTTAAAAAAGTATATATAATTGATTCATTCGATAGAAAGATTGTGCTGGAATAGTAGCGGTTCTAATCTGCCGCCGCTACTAATTGGATTGGTTGGTGGGGGGGGGGGCGCGGAGGCGAGGATGGCGGGGCGCCAGTTGCAGTTCATCATCCACCCATTCAATTATAGCGCCAGTCAGACAAAAAGCACTAAGGAGAGCTCGACCAGTAGGAGTATTAATCCGACCTTCTGCACAGCCAGCAGGTTGTAGGCCCTCAAATCATCGTCATCGTATAGGATATTGTTTTTCTCTCTCAACAAATCAATGAATATTACTTTTAAGCCTGCCTTATCAGCGAAACGAACAGGAACACGCTACGAGAGTTTCACAGGAATCAATTCATTTTCACATGAAACACGAATTTTTCTTTCAATCCAAAGACACCTAATGTAGAAGACTAATAAAACATCCAAGAGACTATTGGCTCGGCCTCCACGACAACCAGCTGTGACTGTGACTAAGTCAAAGTGGCGAATGCCTCCTGAAGGATGGTTTAAGTGCAATTTTGATGGTGCTTACTACCCGGCCTGCGGCCAAGGGGCAACCGGAGCTGTGATCCTGGATCAGACCGGGATCTTCAGAGGTGGGAGAGCGAAGTGGCATACAGTATGGCTAGATGCTAGCATGTTCGGTTGGCTGGTTCGTTTATGTGGAAAAAAAAATACTGCTGACTGGTTCAGATAAACAGTGTTTTATGAGGAGGCTGCCCAGCCGAACGAGTTGGAAGCCAAAGGTTTAAAGAAGGCATCGTACTTGCTTGTGATCTAGGCGTCCAAACAATTCAGTGTGAAAATAGACAGCCAGGAATTGGTGAAGCTTTGGGAGATGAGGGAGCGACAGCGGGCGTGTTCGGCTGGCTTGTTCCGCTACTCACGAAATCACTGTTCACGTCATACTAGAACAGTATTTTTCTCTGACAACAATCAGCCGGAACAGTATTTTTCAGTCCTACCGAACAGGGCCAGCGATCATGTATCTCGCCGATCATCAGAGAAATTAGGGGGCTTAGTAATATTTTTCAATCTTTTTCTTTGATGTATGTTCATAGATCGTTGTCTGCTAGTTTGGGCTGATTTGGCTTATAAACCATGGCTGAAAGTACCGTTGGCTGGTTTAATATGAGAGAAAAATATTGTTCGTTGGCTGATAAGTCATGACTTATAAGCCAAATACGAGCAAACAAACATGCTGATACTAGAGGTCCTACTCCTGTTGTATGCGCTGTCTTTGCATGGCATGGCAGGTAGGTTTGAGCTATTAACCTTGTTCGTTTGTTGGTTTCAGTCATGCTTATTCAACCAGCCAATGATATTTTTCTCTCACAACAAACCAGCACGAGCCAGTCTAAACCAGTCTAGAAACCAACCAGCAAACACGCCAATTAATGGGCAGCTTAATCACACCATACCTTACGTTCATTCATTAACCAAAGCATGCTAACGACCCCGCCATTAATTAATTTCATTTATTCATGGTCGCCGCGCAGTCATTATGACGCCAGGCAATCCGGGCGTCGGCGTCACGGCAGACCCGAGGCGAGAGAGACGCGCCGGCACATCTGATGCGATCATGCCAACGTGATCCCCTCCCGATCCCGGTGGCCACCATCACGGAGCCCCCGCGGCGCAGTCCAGTCTTCCCTTGCAAGCGAAGGGGAGGGAAGCCAGACGCCTCAGCTCACGGCCTCACGCCCACCCCCTCCCTGCTGTGCTGGCTCCTGCCTAGCTGTAGCTTGCCCTTCCCTTCCCCCGGTATCTGCCCTGCTCTCCCCCTACCCGAGACGACACCCCCTCTGCTCCATCTCCAGTCCTCCAGTCTCCACCACCACCATCCACCAAGGTAGCAGCTGTCCGTCTTCTCCCCTCCCCTCCCCACCCCACCCAGGAGCCAGCCACCAAACTCCTCCCGCCCGCCGCCGGCCATGCCGGGCCTCGCGGCCTCCAACAACTCGCCCCCAACGGTGGCGCCGCCGCCACGGCGTCTCTCATCGCCGCTCCCCCGCCGCGCGCCGCCGTCCCCGTCTCCCTCCGCCTCGTCGCGCGCCAAGCCGCGGAAGCCCTCGCCGTCCCCCACGGCCTTCCCCGCCGACGCCGACGACTCGCTCGACAACCCGGATCTGGGCCCGTTCCTCCTCAAGCAGGCGCGCGACGCCATGGTGTCGGGGGAGGGCGGCGGGGCCGCGCGCGCGCTCGAGTTCGCCGAGCGCGCCGCCAGGGCGCTCGAGCGGCGCGGCGAGGGCGCCGAGCTCGAGCTCGCCATGAGCCTCCACGTCGCCGCCGCCATCCACTGTGGACTCGGTCGCCACGCCGACGCCATCCCCGTCCTCGAGCGCGCCGTCGCCGTCGTCACGCCGCCTGCCCCTGCTGCCAAGGGGGAGGGGGAGGGGGAGGGGGAGGGCGAGGATGGGGCCGATGCGGCCGGCGGCGACGACCAGCAGCAGCAGCGTGCGGAGCCCGACCAGAGGGGCGAGGAGTGGTCCCTCGCCGCCTTCTCCGGCTGGATGCAGCTCGGCGACACGCACGCCATGCTTGGCCGCATGGACGAGTCCATCGCCTGCTATGGCAAGGGCCTCGAGATCCAGATGGCTGCGCTCGGCGAGCGCGACCCCCGCGTCGCCGAGACCTGCAGGTGATCATCAATCCCCCCCTTCGCTGCTTCTCGATCTGGATCTCGTCTCTCCCAATCTCCATAAAGGCCCCATTTTTCTTTTTTTACTAGTACCTCCAATCCAACCTCGATAAAGCCAAAGAACTGATATTTTTCCCCATCGTTGGTCGTTAGTCGTTACAGAAAACTGTGGATCTCGACAGAATTGGCGTTAAAAACCGATATCTTGCATGCAAACACCCAATAAATCTTACAAGGGACGAAGCATGACAATTTTGCTACTTCTCAAAACTGACTGATGAGCAGGTACCTGGCGGAAGCGCATGTGCAAGCTCTGCAGTTCGACGAGGCAGAGAAGCTATGCCGCAAAGCCCTCGAGATCCACCGGGAGCACAGCGCTCCGGCATCCCTCGAGGAGGCCTCGGACCGCCGCCTGATGGCCCTCATCCTGGACGCCAAGGGCGACTACGATGGTGCCCTCGAGCACCTCGTGCTTGCCTCCATGACCATGGTTGCCAACGGCCGTGACATCGAGGTTGCCACCATCGACATCGCCATAGGCAACACCTACCTCGCCCTCGCCCGCTTCGACGAGGCCGTCTTCTCCTACCAGAAGGCGCTGACTGTTCTCAAATCGGCTCGTGGCGACGACCATCCTACGGTTGCGTCGGTCTACGTCCGCCTTGCTGACCTTTACCACCGAACAGGCAGGCTGCGCGAGTCTAAATCGTACTGCGAGAACGCCCTGCGTGTCTATGCCAAGCCCGCGCCTGGTGCTGCCCCTGATGAGATTGCGGGAGGTTTGATGGAGATTGCTGCCATCTATGAGGCGCTTGGCGATCTCGATGAGGCCCTAAAGCTTCTTCAGAGGGCGCTCAAGTTGCTCGAGGACTCACCAGGGCAGTGGAGCACCGTTGCTGGTATTGAGGCACAGATGGGTGTTCTGTACTACATGGTGGGGAGGTATGCAGATTCGAGGAACTCATTTGAGAGCGCGGTTGCCAAGTTGAGGGCCAGTGGTGAGAGGAAATCGGCATTTTTCGGCGTTTTGTTGAACCAGATGGGGCTAGCTTGCGTGCAGCTGTTCAAGATAGATGAGGCTGCACAGTTGTTTGAGGAGGCAAGGGCAGTTCTGGAGCAGGAGTGTGGCGCTTCTCATCCTGATACTCTTGGTGTGTACAGCAACCTTGCTGCAATCTATGATGCCATGGGAAGGTACGCATAGATAACCTGTTCTCCTGCAATCTTTAGTCATTTTATTCAGAATCTCATGCACATATCTCTGCCTGTGATGTGGTTACATACTCTGTATGTGTTAAACAACCACACATTTAGGATCTCTAGGTGTCATTGGTATGCCCATAATGGTATATCTATATGTGCCTCACCATTTACAACAGTAAGAACTAAGAAGTGGCTGGTGCCGAGATTTTTCCTGCTATCAGAAGGGTTAAATTTGTTAAGTCTAATCCTTTGCTGAATGGTTGTGTGGGTTTGTTGTGGGTGCTGGATGGTGTTGTGGGTTGAGCTCCTTTTGATTATCCTGTGTAAGCTTGCTTTGATTTGGATTGGGTAAAACTAGTATCTAGATTGGTTGATGAGTTACTTACCAGATGATCATTTTTGTCATGCGAATGCAATGCCATAGTCCGCATGTTATGTACCCAACTTTTGTATAGTTGCAGACGTAGCAAAACAGGATGTATGTTTAGTATAGGCCTGTGCCCATTTATTCATGCTTTCTTAAGTAGACAGGTCTGTAGCCATTTATTGATGCTTTCGAAACTAGTAACAGAGATATTTGCAGCAGGACAGTGTAATTGAGGCTCTGCCATGCTTGTATGTAGTTGTAGTTCTTATACCTCTGAAAATAGTTATTCTTACTGGATGATCCATCCATGTCGCATTATAGCTACTAATGTGCATCTGCATATATTCCCGATTATGTATACGTTCAGAGTGGAGGATGCGATTGAGATCCTGGAGCACGTGCTGAAGGTGAGGGAAGAGAAGCTTGGCACGGCGAACCCGGATGTGGAGGACGAGAAGAAGCGGCTGGCAGAGCTCCTGAAAGAGGCGGGGCGGTCGCGGAACCGGAAGCAGAAGTCGCTGGAGAACCTGTTCGTGACCAACTCGCAGCGGGCGAAGAAGGAGGCCGGGAGGAGGTGGTCAAACTTTGGGTTCAGGAGTTGAGGAGCTACATCGTCGGTCATCATCGCCGGGCGGCGGTGGCCTTTGTAACATAAAGGAGGAAGGGGAAAGGGAAAGGAAAGAAAGCACGTGTAAAGATGTTGTGTTAGGTTATTATTATTGTTAGGAAGGTGATGATGATTGCGTTTGCTGTTGGTGTATGTGTGGCACTGCACTACTGTTATTGTCTTGGGGTTATTTTCGAGTTAAATTTGTTTTTTTTTCTCGCGATTATTATTAACTGGGTGCTGTTGTACCTTGAGAAGATGATATTGTCATTGTTGTGGACTGGTGGTGACTGGTGAGTGATGAGAATACCTATGATTGTTTGGTAGTGCAATTGCTTGCTTCCATTGATTGAGGTGTTGAATCCCTGGAGTTGAAACGCTGTCCTGGTGTGTCCTTGTGAGGTGGCATATGTCCATGCAAAATGCTATCGACGAGACTGTTCGCTTGATGGTTTTATTAAGACTTATCAGTTAGCCAACAGTGTTTTTTTCTCACAACAAATTAACATCAACTGGGCTTATTAATCTAGAAACCAACCAGCGAACAGGCTCAGTGTATGTGCTTATTACTGTGTGTTGTGTGGTATTAGGATCTGATCTCTTAGGCCTTGTTTAGTTGCCGTTTTTTTTTGGAAAATGGTACGGTAGCACTTTCGTTTTATTTGGCAATTAGTGTCTAATCATAGTCTAATTAGGCTTAAAAGATTCGTCTCGTGAATTTCGTCTAAACTGTGTAATTAGTTTTATTTTTTATTTATATTTAATGCTTCATATATGCGTCCAAAAATTCGATGTGACGGAGAATCTTGAAAAATTTTACAAAATTTTGAGAACGGCACTTATTATGAGAAAAATGCAGCACATTGTCGCTGTCAACAGGTGAGGTGAGAGCAAGTGGACGTGTGTGTTTGGAGCTGCATCGGCATCGGTTGGTGACTCTTGTTTTTTTGGATGAAATGAAACACATCGGTTGGTGACGTGGGACCTAGTATGGCAGAGGGATCACCGGATCAGGAACGCGTCTGCTACTCACATAGGAGTACGCTGCTACACCTACACTTGAGCACGATGTCAGTCAGGAAGGCTTTGGGCATCCGGTCGATTTGGTGGTCCGGTCGATTTGGTGGTCGGCCTGTCAACGCGAAGCTCCACGCTGGGCCGTATCGGGCCCCCACCGAACGAATCTGAGCCCCGCTGGCCCGCTAGAGTCGCGACGATCCCACAGTAAATTTTCCTTTCTTTCTTACCGCCAAAGCCTGCCTCCAGTTTCAGGTTTCACCACCGCCTGCACCCGCGCGGCGATTCAAAAAGTAACCCGCCCACGGGAAAAACCGCGGGCCCGAACAGACCGCGCCGTACAAAACCCCTTTCCTCGGCACACGTGCGCGCGTCACTGCCCGCTGGGCCCAGCCGGAGCCGAGGCGGCGGCCCACCGCCCGACCCCGCGTGTCCATGACGCGTGGGGGCCGTCGCGTCGACCCACCGAGTCATATAACGCAACCACACCCCGTCCCCGTCCCCGTCCCGTTTCGACTTTCGACTCCGCCCGCGCCGTACCCAGTTCCCCGCGAACCCCTCGCCTCCGATTCCGCATCCGCCGCCGCCGGTTCCGATGCCGCCCAAGCGAGGCCGAGGCCGCGGACGCGGGCGCGGGAGGCCAAGGAAGGACCCCGTCGCCGAGGACTCCGCGCACGCCACCGAGGTATTCGACGCGACACAGCACTTGCTAAGCTAGGTCTCCGCTTCCCCTCCTCCAGCACCCGGTTCCTGCTTCCCTTCAATCGCGCTGCCGCTCTGCGTGGACGGGAGGATGAGCTAGCTCGTCCGGATTTGGTTCCGGCTAATCCCCCCTCCCAGCAAGCTGCGTATGCTGCTTGCTCCCTGCGCTGCTTTGCATCGCCGCGCGGCCTTTGTCTCGGCCTCGCTCTAGTTACTTACAAAAGCATGGATGCGGAGGCACGGGGGGCTCCCCGTTGGCATTGCTGCGGTCTTCGCGTCTGCGACCATTCGGCTCCTTCGATTGGGATTCCAGCAACCCCTTTGATTTCCCCCTTCCCAATGTCTTCGCTTGTCAAATTGGCATCTCCCCCTTCCCCTTTTCGCTTAGCCCGTCAGGTTTTCCTGCATAAAGAACCTGAGCTTTGCATTTGCTCCTTTTAAAAAAAATAATCCAGTGACAACTCTTATTTAATTGAAGAGGGCATGCAGTGATTTGATTTCTGCGATATGCTTATTGGTCGTTTTGGCTCGGGTTTCAGGATAACGGTGAAAGCAAGGGCGACGACGAGATGCTTCAACCGCAGGATTCTGCTAATGTCAATGCTCTTTCCTTCGATGTTTATTTTCCTTTCCATCAGGTCCAGCTGTTTCATTGCCTTTGCTTCTTTGAATGTACTAGTACTCTTTTTTTTCCTTCATACCTGAGCTTTGCTTGTGCTCCTTAAAAAAAAAACATTAATTCAGTGACAACAATTATTTAATTGAAGAGGGCATGCAGTGACTTGATTTCTGTGATATGCTTATTGGTCGTTTTGGCTCGGGTTTCAGGATAACGGTGAAATCAAGGGTGAGGACGAGATGCTTCAACCACAGGATTCTGCTACTGTCAGTGCTCTTTCCTTCTATGTTTATTTTCCTTCCCTAAAAAGGAATTGAACACAGATCCTAAACATTGCCTATGCTCTTCAATTTCATTTTTCTCTAGGGGAATGGAGATCAAGGGAGTGAGGAAGCCCCGAGACCTGCACGGAAGCGAAAGAGGGATCCTGTTGCTGACCTATCTTCTCTCCAATATGATTTCAAGCGTCTTCGTGACAGGCCGAATGTTCCTGTGACAGTGCAGCCTAAGGTGGGATTTTGAACAAATAGGGTCTCTATGTGTTTTGAGTGTAGTTATGGTCTTGTTGGTAATTTTTATTAGATGCTGCTATTGCAGCTTGCGCTTTGTTTTTCAAACGCTGTTGTTTTATTTGAAATTATAAATCTAACTATATGTACATGCATGACGTATGTTGGTTACTGGAACTGGCAGAGTACAAAAAAGACGGATGGTACTTCGGATATGTGTCATCAGTGCCAGAGAAACGACAAAGGAAGAGTTGTAAGGTGCCAGGGCTGCAAAAATTATAGGAGGAGATACTGTGTGCCATGCATCACACGCTGGTATGCCCCCTTCTAAAGCATTCATGCTGTGACGTTGCATTTTCATTTTTGCTTTCTAGATCCATGACTCTTGTCTTGTCCCTTATGCACATTATGCTTCTTTGCTCACAAGTCACAATGTTATTGCATTTTCTTCTACTTTTTTTTTGTTATTAATGTCCACTGCTTGTGTTCATGGCGTGATTTTAACAGGTATCCAAATTTATCAGAGGATGATTTTGCGAATAAGTGCCCGTTTTGTCGCAATATTTGCAATTGCAAGGCTTGTCTGCGAGCCAAAGTAAAAAAGGAAGAGGTATGCCTTCGCTATCTTTATATTTCCAATTCAAGTCATGTTGGCTGTATGCTTTAGATGTTCACCTGCTCCTTAATTTTCATCAGAATGTCAACTGGAAGGTGTCCAAAGAAGATGGAATTAAATTCTCACTGCGTACTGTGCACTTTCTGCTCCCTTGGCTGAAAGAACTCCACCACGAGCAGATGCAAGAGAAAAGTGTCGAGGCTGCAACTAAAGGTAGTATGATTGCAACGTCAGCATTTGGATTTCTAGTTTACGTGCATGGCTTCAACTCATTAGTCATTGATATTTTTGGTTCTCTTGCTAATTTTGCTATATTAGTAGGGATTGAAGCAAGCAAACTGGAGGTCCCTCTAACCATTTGTGGAAAAAATGAACGGATATACTGGTCAGTGTGGCTTTACTTACAAAGCATATGCAAATTATTGGTTTTATAAGCATCTAATTCCTTATTGTATTTGTAACAGCAACAACTGCAGGACATCTATTGTTGACTTCCACAGAACCTGCAATAAATGTAACTACGATCTCTGTCTCCGGTGCTGCCAGGAGCTTCGTCGAGGCCTTGTTCCTGGTAATGGTACCAAGGCTGATGGTGGAGGCAAGGAAGATTTGCAATTGGGAGTTAGTCATGATAAAATTGTATGTAAAGGGCCATCTGATGGACATAATGGCATGTTGATAGATAATGTAGTTCCTGCTGACAACAGCACTTCTAGCTTGAGACAGTGGACTGTGAATAATGATGGAACCATACCTTGCCCACCAAATGCATTTGGTGGTTGTGGGAGCTCTCTTCTTGAACTTAAGTGTTTGTTTGAAGAGAAGTTTATGGTTGAATTACTGGAGAAAGCCAATTCAGCGGTAAATAATGGCTCGAAGGTGAAGATGGAAGGATCAAAATGTTCCTGCTTCACTGAATCCGGTGACATGGATGATGGTATATCGCGGAAATCAGCTTGCAGGGAGAATTCCTGTGATAACTACATATATTGCCCAACCGCTACAGATGTCCAAAATGGAAGTTTAGATCATTTCCAGGAGCACTGGTTGAAGGGTGAACCTGTAATTGTCCGTGATACGCTTGCATTGACTTCTGGATTAAGCTGGGAACCGATGGTTATGTGGCGTGCCTTACGAGAGAAGAGAGACAAAGTTGAGAGGCTCTCAGTTCTTGCTCTTGAATGCTTGGGTTGGTGTGAGGTTTGTAATATTCTCGTGACTGTTAGCTGGAAATGATACGACTTTCCGAAATGAAACTTCTAAAAACTAATGTTACTTTCATGTACTCTGAATGCAGGTTGATGTAAACATTCATATGTTTTTTACGGGGTATTCACGTGGGCTTGTTGGTCCAGACGATTTGCCCCTGTTACTTAAGCTTAAAGATTGGCCACCACATCGTTCTTTTGAGGAGCGGCTGCCTAGACATGGTGCAGAGTTTATGTCTGCGTTGCCATTTCGCGATTACACAGATCCTAAATGTGGCCCTCTTAATCTGGCAGTAAAGCTTCCCGCGGGTATTAATAAGCCAG